TCATGTCATCGTAATATATCATGAAATATTGCGTAACAATATTTTACTGCGGCACAGCATCATATGTCGAATAGTAAACTTTACGACGCTACACTACATAGTGGTATAACAAATGATAGTGTTAAGCCTAGTACAACGTTGCTGCACTGCAGTACGGTATATACAGCAACTCATCATGAGAACACAGCACAAAATCTAATAATATACGGTAACGTTCCGCATTGTAATTCGGTAAATATAATATGCAAAATTGTTTTGCGCAACCTTAATGGAACAGCGCTAATTTCTGCACTACCACTGTGAGCTAAATGTAGTTTGTGGCGTCAAAACAGCACAGTAGTTATTCAATGCAAAACTTTAAGAAAATACATTGTATCGCTATACAGTGTGGTATAATATAGCAGGAGAGCGTATTTTATACATTGTACATTAAATTACATCTTCTGCGCCGCAGAGTATATTAACACGCCTAACAATAACAGACAAATGTAATATTAACTAGACTAACAGTATTTTGCTTTTATATGATACTTGTATATGATACTATGCAATAAGTATGCACTGTACAGATTGGGATTAACACTGAACATCGTGGCGATTACAACATATGTTATAGGACAGTGCAACAGAATGGTAACTGGAATGGTGCTGTTGCCGCCGACATCTGAATTTCAATATGCTAACATGCCACGCTGTACCATTATGTAGATTATGCGATGTTATTCGAGCTCCTAAAATTCTATCTAATCTTATCTGATTCGACAACAGCAAATTATGCTCACCATACGTGCAATACAGTACTACGATGCGAGATAATACTGCATGCGTAGCACAGCATACCACATTCTGCAACAGTAGAGTATTATAATTTTATAATATAAAACATAAAGAAGTATAAAGTAATACAATCATAACAGCGCATTACACATGCATCGCTGCACAGTTCATTACGGTTATTATATTATACAAGGCGTGCAGCATATTTTACTATTACGAACATAGCGCAACTAAATACATCATGTCAAACTATGCTACAACGTCATATTTAACGTTATAGCAAAAACTTTCTAACGCCCAATAATTGTA